CTTCATCTAAAGTACAATGAAGACAAATTTTTTTAAAAAGTAATTTTCCATTTTGTCACCAAGGCACATTTGGTTTTTTCCTCAAATTTTTGCTATTTTGTAGTAATCCTACTACAAATATTTTTGTACTTGTCTGCTCGTCCGCAGGTGGAAGAGTTTCCGTAGGGAATATTTCCAGGGGTGGAATGGCTGGGCCTATGGGTACGTGGAGCCCTGGTGGCACAGTGGTTAAGCATTTGACCGCTAACCAGCCACTTGTTGAAAACTCTATGGGGCAGCTCTACTCTGTCCTGCAGAGTCGCTATGAGTCGGAATCGACTTGACAGCAATGGGTTTGGTTTCGGGTTTTTGGATGGGTACATTCCACTTTGTAAGATGGAGCAAAGTGTTTTGTACATTGATTATTCCCATTGACATTTCCACCAGATGTGTATAAGAATCTTCTTTGATGCATGTTCTCACCAAAATTTGGTAAATTTTTCCAATCTTGAGGTTTATAAAGAAACTTCGTTATAATCTTAGTTTGCATTTCCCTGATTACTAAAGAGACTAAGCATTTTTTACTGTATTCATTTACTATTAATTTTTTCTCTTTTATGAAATGTGTGTTCATATATATTGCTCATTTAGCTAATGGTTACTTGTCATTTTCTTAATCTTCATAGGACTAGATCTTAGAGAAGGGGTTGAGTGGAGAATAACTGGCATAATAGGCCCTGCAGCCTATCTAGTCCATCAAACTACCAGAAGCAGAAGTCCGTTTGTAAATTTTAATGTTCTCTCTGGTCATTCTGCATAGGGTTTTATCGAGTCACACAAAGAACAGGTGTTGAAGGTTTACTACTTACCTGGAGTACCTGAGGTCTTTCATAGGAGTTTCCAGATACAGATAGCCCACCTGGACCCAGAAAGTATCATTCTGAGTGGAGAAGGAATCTTTCCCCGAATCTGCCTCGATCTCCCCAGGAACCTCAAAGGTATTACTAACCCACTTAGAGTATTTGCCCACTGGGGACAACAGATACATTTTAGCTTTGTTTCTTTGAAGGTTGGTGGCTGCTCACTTTATTTGCTTGGCTGTTCTCTCAAGTCCCCTTCTATGGTTATTCTTCAATGGCAAAAAAAAAAAAAAAAAAAAGATTTGAATTTGACTTGGTGACCTGAATTTAGAGACAAGATATGATCCTGGCAATCCCAAATTAGGACCACTGGCCAATTTTGCCATCACTAAGTTGCTTTCTCTTTATAAAGGGAGCAGAAAATTTTGCTTCTGAAGGCCTTTTCCTCCATTGCATGTTCCTTCCACTACAATCTCTCCCTGAGTTCTTTTCCCGGTAGCATACTCACAGATGGCCATTGAGAAGGCAAAGGATGGTTTAAGGAGTAGAATTGTCAAAATATAAACTCTGTACAGAAAGGCAACCACGGATTCTGTCTCCTTATTTTGGAGCCCCTGGGTGGTGCAAATGCTTAAGGGCTTGGCTGCTAACCAAAAGGTTGAAGGTTCAAGTCCACCCAGAGATGCCTTGGAAGAAAGGCCTAGTGATCTACTTCCAAGAAATCAGCCATTGAAAACCCTATAGAGCACAGTTCTACTCTAACAACCATGGGATCACCATGAGTTGGAATCGACTTGATGGCAACTGGTTTGTCTGAGGTTTTTTTTATTGTTGTTTATTTTTGAATTAGGAGCCCTGGTGATGGAGAGGTTAAAGCACTTAGCTGCTAACTGAAAAGTCAGTGGTTGGAACCCACCAGCCACTCTGTGAGAGAAAGATTTGGCAGTCTGCTTCCGTAAAGATTTATAGCCTCGCTCTTCCCAGGAGAGGCTAGAACTATCTTTTCTGCGTTTTGGCTGGTGCTGAGTGGAATGACTGGTTTGGGAGAGGAGGGTCTGGGTTCAGCTGTGGTGCTTTGTTGTAAAAGGCAGCTTGGCCTTTGCTACTGATAAGAAAGATGGAGCCTGGGTCTCAAGCCCACCTTCATGTACCTTTGCCACATGGTACTGTACACGTGCCGGCTAAGTAGAGGGTGAGGGATTCTCTTCAGTCTGAGAATGAGTGTGTGTGAGTGAGGCGGTATCCACCTCGTAACTTCAAGTCATTGCAGTTTCTTTTTCCCAAATAAAAAAGGGGGGGGGGTTAGATGTTGCATTTCATAAAACTAACCGAAGTTCTGTCTACTGATGCAGCACAAGAGATGTTTAAAAAAAAAAAAAAAAAGGGAAAGACACTCTTTAGGGTTTTTGTTTTGTTTTAATTATCTTTTAGGGAAAGCACTGACGAATGGTCAGAGCTCTCATCCCGATACTTTCATCCAGGCGCCTTTCCTAATAATACGGTTCAACTGTGAATGTAGAAGTGGGGGGAGGGGGGAGAAAAAGAAAACTCTGGAGTTAGAGGATATAGCAAAAATAAAAATACACTTGTTACATAAAGAATACAGACTTCAGAAACAAAAAAAAAAACCACAACCCAGACAAACCAAAAGTTATAAATGCTCAGAATTGGCAGCACAAAAGGAAAGCTCTCTCCTGACTCGTATTGTGGCAGTCTGAACGCCCCCAGAAAATTGTGCCAAAGACAGTAGAAAACAAATATACAATAAAAGTAAACACACACACATACACACAAAACAGCAAACTTCAGGTAACTATTTTGGATTGCAAACAAAGATAAATTTAATGTTCAAACAATCTGATAAAATAACCATTTGGAAACTGAAAAAAAAAGAAGATTTATAGCCTCGAAAACCCTATGGGGCAGTTCTACTCTGTCCTACAGGGTCGCTATGAGTCAGAATCAACTCAACTGCATTGTGTTTGATTTTTGTTATTTTGGAATTGCACAGTTTGGAAGCTAAGTTAGACCTTTATTAGTTGTCTGCCCACAAGCTCAGTCAAGACTTTTCTGGTCACATCTGGCCTCAGGGCGATCCCTCAGTACCAGAATGATACTTGTCTTGGCAGATCCTGAAGCTCAGCTGAACAGCTCTTTTAGATGTACAATCTCTCTGGATTTTTCTTCCTCAAATAGGGTACAGGACAAAAGGTCAAGAGAAATTTCTCGCTCTTCTTCATCAATCTCTCTTCAAGCTCCTTGAAATCCAGTTTCCCTAAAAACCTTCAGACTAAGTTCTCACACCTCAATCTTTCCTCCTACCCTACTCCTTAAAGCCACTCACTCACCTGTTGGTGATCATCCATTATGAATTCTCATTGTCTACTCCCTGATAATATGAGCACAAATACTTGTAAAGCTAAAGCCAGGTTACGCTCTAGTGTCTAGAGTTCCAGCCAGATGGGAATCACTGTAACTCCACATATAGTGGTCAGGAGGGAAAGCCTTTTGCCATACAGTTGAAAACTGGATACCCAGCTGGCCTCGTCAGTGCAGTAGATGGTTTGCTTGGCCAGTAGAGTACTTTAAAATAATTTAAAATTGAATACCATTAGTTGGATATTTTGTGCTCCAGTTCACCACACTCAGAACACTTCCTCCCAATGTTCCTAATTAGTTTACCTACCTTGACCCTGGAAGCATTTGACTTTGCACTGGCTTAGTGATGAATCTGGGTGTCTAAAATCTCCCCACTGATTGCCTAGCTTCCCTGATATCAAGGATCATGGCTTATTTGGTTTTAGCTAAGGCAACTTGACCCAAATATTTTCTTTTTGTGAAATGAGATTTAGTAAACATGAAAACTGACTTACAGGATGACCAGCTGAGGAGGTTCCTGGGACCCAAGACTTCAGCACTGAAGTCCCAACTAACTTGGATGGAGTTGGTCATCCTACGAGTGACTTAGGGTGTTACTGTCATCAAGTTCTCGAGAACCAGCTAGTAGCCCACTGAAGCATAATCTCATTAAGCTCAGTGAAGTCTGTGATACAAATTCAACTCACTCACAAATTATCCCATTCTCAGAAGCCAAGGAAACATGTCAAGTGAAGTATCAAGAAGTTTTGCTTCCCTTCTCACTGTACCCTAAGACTGCGAGTCAGTGTTTTCTTTTGTTTTTTAATAATATTTTATTGAGTTTTTGGTGAAAGTTTACACAGCAATTTAGGTTCCCATTTGACAATTTCTGCACAAATAGTTCAGTGATATTAGTTGCATTTATCACAATGCATCAACATTTTCTTTGTGTTCTGTTTGTTCTGTTTCCAGTACTCTAGTTTTCCTGTCATCTTGCTTTTGAGTAATTGTTGATCTTTTAGTCTCATACTGATGATGTCTTTTAAGTAGGGCACCGATCTTATGGGTAATATCCTCTATTTTGTGTGTCACTCTGCTATTTCACTAAAAGGTCTCAAGGGATAGGCTCAGTTCTAGGTTTAAAGAGTATCTCAGGGCAATAGTCTCAGGGAGCTGCCTGTTCTCTAATGTTCCAGTTTATCTGGCTTTTTTGTTTTTTTTTTTTTTTGAGAATTTGATTTCTGCTTTGTATTTTTCTCCCATTCTATCTTGGACCATCTGTTATGACCCTGGTCAGAACAGTCAGTGGTGGTAGCCAGACACCATCTAGTTCTTCAAGAATTAGTGTTTTGGACATAGTTCATGTTTTCTAATAAACTTTATTCTCTTCTTCCAATACCCACAGGAAATGAAAAGTATGAAACTTTCTTGAATCAAGCCAAAAAAAACCTAGAGTATGACAAATATGATACTATGGATCACTTAGAAATAATAACTGAGGAGACGCCTGAGTATGAATCTACTGAGGTAAGACTAGCTTCACCCTGCATAGAATGTATGTTCAGAGGATAGTATGTGTAAAGGCCCAGGGGCAAGAAGGACATGGTATGTCTGAGGAACAGAAAGGAGGCGAGTTTATCTAAAGCCAAGAGGGGGAAGACAGGGAGGGAGGGAGATGAGTCTGGAGAGATAGGCAGTGGCCTAGTGAACTGTATTAAGGGTTTAGGCTGTATCCTGAGGAAAACAGGAAACTTTAGAAGTGTTTCAAGCAGGGGCATGGCATAACTGGATTTGTGTTTTTAAAAGATCCCTCTGGATGCTTGGTGGAGCTTGGAGGGGAGGGGGACTTGGGGGCATGAGAGTAGATGTGGAGAGATCAACTTTTTTAAAGCTGATGGAGTGATTGATTATAGGTGAGAGATGATGGTGGTGTGAACAAAAATGATGACTGGGGGCAGGGAGTAAAGAGGAGTTGGCAGATTCAAAAAATAGTCAGGGGTTAGGGATTGATTGAATTTAGGAGTGAGAGGGTGGTGACCTCATGGTGTCTTGCTTGAGTGACAAGGTTAGGAGGAGGCACAGAGATAGGAAACTCAGGAGGAGAAGCAAGTTTTGAGGGGAGGATGAAGAGGGGAAATAAGTTCAGATTGTCCGTCACTGAGCATGAGATTTCTGTGCATCATCCAAGTGGAGGCATCCAAGAAGGAGTTGAAACAACTGCTGTGGGCCTAGAGGAGAGGACTAGGCTGGAGAAAGAGACTTGAGAGTCCTAGGATAGTCATAATCCCAGGAAGCAGTGAGATTCCCTAGGGAAGGTGTCGAGTGAGCAGGGAAAAGGGTACACATTCAGAATGGAGCCCTTAGGTACACCAACATCCAAGAGGCGAAGAAGGGTAGCCAGAGAGGTTCTAGAAAATCCTAGCTCCGCCGAGTGCCTGCAGGCACCCTACTCCACCAGCAAGCCTTCTGCCCGAAGGCACTCAGCTTTCTCACTCCATGGGCCAAGAAGCCCACTATGCCATCTCCTGCTGGTCTTTTGGTTCTGCTGCCTCTGCTACTGCCACTTCTCTTCCACTACTTCTTGCCGTCTCTCACTGTCTCCAGTGTTATAGTGTTCTGTCTCTTGGGTCTAGGAGTTTCTCAGCACAGGAACCCCGGATCCAAAGGACGTGCTCTGCTCCTAGCTCTTCTTTCTTGGTGGTAGCGTGGTCCCCCGTGTCTGCCTCTGGGATCGCTCATTTTAAGCCTAGCAAGATGGCAAAACTGAGAAATCCCCTCATTAGGGTTCTATACACCTTATTTGCATGGTCCTACCCCTACAAGGGACCCCTAGTGGTGCAGTGGTTAAGAGCTATGGCTGCTGGAATCCACCAGCTGCTCCTTGGAAACCCTATGGGGCAGTTCTACTGTGTCCCCCACAAGGGTGTCATGCACCTTATTTGTATTATTAGCAAGCCGTCCAATCCCCTTGATGGTCCACGAGTACCTTATTTGCATATTCCCACCCAATCATTTGGTGGGAGTTATAAGACTATGGCTGGAAAGGCCATATAAAAGCGATCCACTGCACCACACTGCCCCTGTGGTATGGTATGAAGGCAAAATCCCAAGATGTCCTCCCTCACTATTCCCTGAAATTCCTCTCCTGGTGGTCTATTCCTGACCATTAGTTAAGGCTGCTCTCTCCTTGTGCTCTTCTTTTAAAATGCAAATATGTATGGAAATGTTGTCCTAAGGAGGAATTTTATATATATAACTAGAGGGCCCTTAGGCCTGGTTTAGAGGGATCCTAAAATTGGGAAGAAAAGTGTAGTGAGGGAGACTGGGAGCTCCAAAGGCCACCAGTGAAGACCTGTTTTGCAGAAGCCTGGTTCACTACAAGATGCTACCCCTTAATAGCCACACCTAACCCCTCCGCCCCCACCCTTTGCCCCTGGCAACCACTAATGTGTTCTCCATCGCTATACATTTTTTATTTCAGGAATGTTCTATAAATGGAATACGTAACCTTTTGAGATTGGCTTTTTCCACTCAGTATAATGCCCTTGGAATTCATCCAAGTTGTTGCATATATCAATAGTTTATTCCTTGTTATTGCTGAGTAGTATTCCATGGTTTGGATGTATCCCAGTTCGTTTACTACTAGAAGAATGTACTGACTTGCTCTTCTCTGTTATTCTAGTTTAGTGCTCAGCTCCAGATGGAAGTAGAGAGACTTATAGTCCAAGGGTATGCCCTAGAACATCAGAAAACAATTACCCCTGATCCCATAGATGACTCCTGCCTCATCCATCGGAGTCGCCGCAAACTGGCCAAGTGAGTGCCCTTTCATGTTTTGTTTGTTTGTGTCACAGCAGACATGCTTGCCTGTGCAGGGTGCTCCCCTGGAAATAATGCTTGACCTTCTAGAAATTAAATCTGCTATCCTCCCTTACCTGCCATCCTCTAGCATCAAGCCAACCAGGCAGGTTTCTGGCTCTTAAAGTCAGAAAATTCCAACTTTGTGTAATAGACAGGCCATGTTTTAGGTCCATGGGAGCCCACACTGATGTGTTTTGAGATAATGGTTGAAACAGCAGTGTGGATTTCCTGAGGAAGTGTCTTGTTCCTAGTCTCCATTCTGGTAGCCATTGGTTGTTCTCTACAACCAATGAGAATAAAATTATGCGCAGGAGATACAAGAGGATCTCAGACTCTCTCACTTTTGGAAAAGAAACCTTCCATATTTGAAAGTAGCTAATAAGGAGAGCTTCTTAACTGTTTCAGAGTCCAGCTGCCAGAGTATATCCTGGACTTTGGCTACATTATCCTTGGTGATGTTCGAACCCACATCATCAAGATCACCAACACCAGTCACTTTCCAGTGTCCTTCCAAGCAGAAAAGCGTGCCCTTCATGACTCAGGTAACCAGGCTGGGGAGACCCTTTCCTATTGCATTTTGTCATTTCTAACAAGGTATCCATCTATGCTGTCCTTTTGGATCAACCTTCGTGCTTCTGCTGGGATCAGCTGAAAGAATTGTTGGACCATTAAATGATACTTTGAATAGTCATCCTACCCGAGAGAGGGTTCTACCTACATCACCTATTGTTTGCTATTTCTCTTTCCCACAAAGAAATTTTGATTTTCTCACTGTCTTGGTCCAGGCTTCAGTACTGAGCTAGACCGCGTAAAGAATCTGCCTTACTGTGAAACGGAAACATTTGAAGTGAGATTTGACCCACAAGGGGCCAATCTTTCTGTTGGAAACAAAGAAGTTATAATGCCCATCAAGGTAAGAAGCACCACTGGGCCGAATTAGCCCTCCCCAGCCTCCAGCTCTGTATGCTGATCACCCCTAGGATAAACCAGTTATTACGTCAGAGCCACAATCCTCCTTCCTCCCTTCCCCCAAACTCCAGCCGTGTGGTAACAGTAATTCTGTACATGCTGTAGGTGGTTGGAGGGCCAACAGTTCATGTCTGCCTCAAAGCCAAAGTGACCATTCCAAGTATGACATTGTCTTGTGGAAAAGTGGAGTTTGCCACAGTTCAGAGTGGACAGTGCCTCGTGGAAACTATTCAACTTTTTAATCATCTCCAAGTCCCTTGCGAATGGTTTGTCCACACCCATAAGCCTGTTGACAAGGTAAATGATTTGTGGCCCATTGGTCCACTTTTCTCCATTGTCATTTCATCAGATTTGTAATTCTAGACTTTCACTCTCATCATTTCACTCTCCTGCTCAAAGTCTATCAGTGACAACCACTGCTGCCTGAATGAAATCTAGGCCTTAAGCCCAGCACTCAAGGTCCTATCAGGACGTGCTATCAGTCGAATGTCTTATTGGTCTTTGTATCCCTGGTGTCTACAGTTCCTTGCACCTGGGAGGTACTCTGTAAATGTAGATTGAATGAGTAGGGAATGGAATGAGTCCATTTTCCATAAGAACAATCTAATTGTCTAATGTTTATAAACCAGCTGGGGAAGCACATGCCAAAGTACTTAAGACGGAAACTACGTGCTGAATTAAAGCCAAAGACACGGATTTTTGAGATTCAACCCACTTCTGGAGTATTGGACCCTGGTGAACGGTTCAATGTGCAGGTGAAATTCATGCCAACAGAAGAGGTGAGCTTTGAAGAAATATGATTTCATTCAGATTCTCTAGACCTCTTTGAGCTTTACCCCAAGTCCATACTTGCTTGGTTCTCAGGGAAAGATTTGAGTGACCTGCACCTTGCTGTCCTGAATATGACATCTCAGGGGCTTCTGGCTCACGTAGAAGCTGTGTGGCCTAGTGGTTAAGAGCACAAGTGTCCCCTGCCTCTGCTCTTACAGGCTGCATGTCTTTGTGCAAATTATGCAGACTCCTTAAGCCTCAGTGTGCTCATAGATAAAATAAAAATAATACTCTTACCTATTAAAAATTCCTTTGTTGCTATTCTGAAATCCAGTAAGTTTTGAAAACTGGAAAACATTTCATAAGTTTTTGACTAAAACTCATTTGGCAGAAAAACTTCACCTAAACTGACATGAGGTGATTTAGTTTGCAGAGTCAAACACTGCAACTGCAGAAATAGATGTGTTTTGATTACAGGCGACCTTTATTACCTAGACCTGCTGAGGGTGTTAGGTAATAAAGGGTATATACAGTGTGTTTGCCTTTTTTAAAATGTGAATTTGAAAGTATCTGAGCCCTGAGGTTTCAAGTAGGAGATTACCAACCTGCAATAGCTACATCCTAGGATCATTTTGAAGATGGAATGAACTAATGTGAATAAAATACACTGCATTCTGCTCTATGTGTAGTGAGCATCTCAGTAACTGTTAACTATTATTATCAACAGTTGTGATACTAATAAGCACTTCCTGGTGGACAACCTCCCTGGACTTCACAAATGTTTCTTTTCTGAATGTCATCAATGCAAAGCTGTTCCTGACCAACAACACAGTAAAAATAATAAAATCCTAGAACCAGGATGCTATCAAGATGTTACTCTGTAAGGACTTTTGCTCAAAGCCTGAGACATTTGGGATATGTTTTTCTCTCTATTCTAATCTTTTAAAAGAAAAATAAATGGGTGTTTTATAAAATACTTTTGGTTAACTCCCATTTCCTGCAAACAGCTTTGAGGAAACATGTAAGAATCTGCAGTGAGAAGAACTGAAAAAGAGGAAAAGTCAGTGACTTCATATTTGATTCTAAAGTCAAGCCCAGGTTTCTGTCACTATCACAGTCTCCCCCACCCCCTTTAAAAGAAACGAGAATTAGTAATATCATGTTTGTCATTCTTAGAGTCTTCAGACTATCAGGTGGTTTACTCAAGGTTTCAGATTTTTTCCCATTACTGAGTGAGCTATACAATATCAAGGAAATATCAATAAATATGGTAAAAATAGATTTATTCAGGCAGTTCCTTAAATGTTGAACTCAATTTGGTCAAAGTAAACATTTCCGCCAATTGGGAGAGGAACTTAAGAGAAATTGTTTAGCCCTGCAGCCATACAGTCCCCACCTGCATCTCCATCAACATCAGCAGCACAAAGGAAATCACTGACATCTACACTAACAGCTCTCAGTCATTAAGAAAAGGTTAAGATATATGTTCAGAATACTCTGTTAGAAAACAAGGAACTGAATGGAATATTCTAGAAAGATTTCCTTAAAAATTATAATATAGAAGTTTAGGTTATAAGGTGATACATCCACGACTATACAAAACACCCTTTAGCCAATAATTCCTTCTCTGTTTCTGACAGTGTGTATGTATATGTATACCATACACATTCCATCTGTCTGATTTTCCCCCTTGAGCTAAGATAGTTACAAGCACTTCAAATTTTGAAGCTAGTCACAGTCCGCAAACCCAAGTCATGAGCCCAACTATATGAATGATCTGGACTAGTTAAAAATAAAGACTCTCAAGTGATACACTGCCCCTTTAGGGATGGGACCTGTGAATCTGTATTTTTAATAAGTTACCCAGTGAAACTACATTAGAAATCATTGACTGTAAAATAGATTTCTTACCATTTTGAGAAAACTGAGTATGGTATCACTATCAACTGGTATTCTGATGGTGAACTGAATGCCCTAGCTGATCAGTTCCAGACCTGCTGCATAACTTTATCTTCAAATAATGGAAATACGTTAATTTGGGTTCTGCCAGAAGCAGACCTGGAGACAAAGATTTGAGTGGGAGTAGACTGCACTGGTAGGGAAGTGGAAGGCAATAAAGGAAAGGGAGGCAGCCAACAAAGGGTGTGCAATGGGACTGAATCCCACGAGGAAACTCTGGTGGGATATACAAACCATACATTTCAGAATCCTAGTGGCAAAGGTTGGAGGTTCAAACCCACCCAGCAGCTCTGCAGTAGAAAGACCTGGCTATCTGTTCCTATAAAAATTATAGCCCAGAAAACCCTATGGGACAGTTCTGCTCTGTCACATGGGGTCACTATGAGTTGAAAATCAACTTGACAGTACCCAACAACAGCAGGAGTGAGGGAAGTGGGGTATTTATACAATAACTCCGAAATAGTCATCGGTTGAGGACTACTCCAGGAGCTGTTACTTCCCAGGCACTTCCGCTCTGCCATGCCCATGTTTTATATGGCATGTAACAGAAGAATCAGATGTTTGTTTTGTTTGTTTGATTTTATGTTTTCCAGAAATTCTACAGCCAAACACTGGTGTTCCAGATTGCCCAGAGTGCTCAGAAACTTACGCTGCTGGCTCAGGGGCAAGGTCTGGAGCCTCGCCTGGAATTTAATCCTTCAGTTCTGGAGCTGGGGCCGCTGCTGCCTTATGCACCTGGAGATGAGGCTGAGTTGGTGGTGAAAAATCCCTGCAGCTTTCCCATTGAGTTTTACTCTTTAGAATTTGACCAGCAATATCTCATAGAAGAGAAGGTGAGCAGATGTAAAACCGAATTTCATGTTCCTACGCATGCTAGGCCCTGCCATACCACGCCTTTTCTCATGTTCTCCCTCTGCATGGGAATATCCTCTTGGTCTTTCCCACCTCCTTCTCCTTACTGAATTCAGTTATTAATTCTAAAGGTTTAGCTTTAGATTCTTTTGTATTTTCTGTTTACACAATCATATCATCATGGAATAACACTTATTTTTTCTTTCCCAACCCTTACACCTTTTATATAATCTTCTTATTGCACCAACTAGGACCCCCAGTATAATGGTGAATAGAAATGGTATTCTAAGCAGGCATTGTTTTTTTTTTTTTTAATTGTACTTCAGGTGAAGATTTACAGAACAAATAGTTTCTCATTAAACAGTAGTAC